ATTTGCATCCACTCCGTGCACCAACATGCACACCAATTAGAAGGGGTACCCTCATGTCTTCCATAGAGACCCGTTCACAATTTTAATTGAATTGGGACTTCCAACCTCCACTTCCATTAAAACAGAGAGTTGCGGGTGCTTACTTGCGGTATCGGACTGATGGGTACTCCTTCAGGGTCTCACATAAGGTGGCAATCTGTTCTGCCAGGGACTCCAGGCACTTCTCCCGAACTTCCTTCTCCATCTTGCTGAAGAGAGTGTGAAAGGAGTCCTGTGCATCTAAGCTGAAGACCTATATAAGCAAGGAACGACAGAAGCCCCACATTACTATACATAGGGGATGGCGACAAAGGCGGCTGAAAACAATTAAAAGACTCATGCAGCTTTTTCAATAAACACGGCACAGTGCAAAGCAGATCAACCCATAGAAACCAATCAGAATTAACTTTACTAAAAGCTAAAACACTGGATTCTGATTGCTAGGGGCCTTACTCTACTCTTCATTTTACCAAATAATTCCAACAGACGAATGTGTAAAGTCCCATAATCCATAGTAAATATTGCCTTTCATGGTTCTAAGTGATCCCCATATTCGGTGCCAAGGCGAAGTCTAGTGTCCAGATCTAGAAGACGCTTTCATGTTTTCTGCAGGTCAATTGGGCTGAATTTAGCAGTGTCAGTATGTGTGTGTGTGTGTATATATATATATATATATATGTATGTATGTATGTGTATGTATGTGTATGTATGTATGTGTGTGTATGCATGTATGTGTGTGTATGCATGTATGTGTGTGTATGCATGTATGTGTGTGTATGCATGTATGTGTGTGTATGCATGTATGTGAGTGTATGCATGTATGTGTGTGTATGCATGTATGTGTGTGTATGCATGTATGTGTGTGTATGCATGTATGTGTGTATGCATGTATGTGTGTATGCATGTATGTGTGTATGCATGTATGTGTGTATGCATGTAATTGGAACACCTGAATCACATGATTTGGAGGGGGAGGGGTGTCCCAATACTTTTGGCAATATAGTGTGTTTTATTACATTGTATGAATACTTGAAATCAGCTACATTTGCAGCCAACTTGCTTAACTAGTTGACATCCGCGTGTTACAGCCCCTTCCCATCCCGGCCATTTTTCAGTATTCAGCGCTGCGGTACTTTGACTGACGTTTATTCCGTCATGCAACGCTGTGCTGAAATTAATTTGATACCATTTTTTAGTGACAGATAGAGTTTTCCTTTGACGGTATTTATTCACCACTGGGAAGGTTTTTTTTTATTTTTTACTATATTAAGGAAAAATTACCGAAATGTAAAATAAAAATGTTATCGAATGATTTGGAGGGGTGTCCCAATACTTTTGGCAATATAGTGTATATATACACACATACATATATGCACAAACACACACTACATACACTTATAAATAAATTCAATATTTGTTTTACTAATACTGTATTATATTTGACAATAACAGTATGAAAGAGAGGCACAATACCGTCTTCAGGCTTCGGTGGCACCTCTAGGCTGAAGGTTGTACGTGAAAGAAACCCTCCAGCCTCAGAATCACAGCTAGTGATCACATAATTGGGAATCACTCTGATTGGTTCCCTTATGATTAGTGGAGACCAGGTCAGTGTCAAGGTGCCCATACACTGCACGATTCTCGTACGAGAATCGCGGGAAATCCCGCGATCGTACAAGAATCAGTGTGAACGAAGACGTGCGACCGTTTCTTACTGTACGGTCGCACGTCTTTTGTCTAAGGAGCATGTTAGAAAACCAGCCGAGAATCGTACGATTTTCGGCTGGTTAGAACGGTGCTCGGGAGACAAATGCCGAACGGGCCGGTGTGCGCACGCTGCCCGTTCAGCATTGCAGTCATCGGAAGCCCGCCCCTCAGGGGGGCGGGCTTGCGATGATCGAGAGTGCGATCTGCCTGTCCAAGATGGGCAGATCGTAAGTTTTTTTAATCACTTTACAACCATCGCAAGACTAAGGTCTTGCGATGGTTGTACAGTGTATGGCCACCTTTAGTCTGGGCCAACGGCTAGCAGCTGTGTGCAGTGTTGTTCTGTTGTTAGGTGTTACACAACTACTAAAAAAAATAGGATTTTGGTACTCACCGTAAAATCCTTTTCTCTCCGTTCATTGAAGGACACAGGGAACAGATCGGAGATCATGTACTGTAGGGTAATATCGCCACCTGCAGGAGAAGGACGCTAGGCACAAAACTAAAGACCAATTACAGCCTAGGGGCGGCCCCTGCAGAATGGGCCGTAACAGAAAAAGGAGGCTCACGCCCCTTAATAGCATACGCCTGAGAGACCGTGTCGCGAATCCATCGAGAGATGGTGGCCGACGAGGCAGCCCGGCCCTTCCGAGGGCCATCTGCAACGACAAACAGGGAATCCGATTCCCGAAACGCAGCCGTAGCACTCAGATAAACACGGATGGCGCGGACCACGTCCAGACAGTGCAGCGCCTTCTCCTTCCTGTGGACGGGCTTCGGACACAAGGAAGGCAGGACAATGTCCTCATTGAGATGGAAAGCCGAAACTACCTTCGGCAGGAAAGACGGCCGAGGCCGTAGAACTACCTTGTCCCGAAGCCGGACCAGCAACGGGGAGGAGCAAGAGAGGGCCGGCAATTCCGAAACCCTGCGGATCGAGGTGACCGCCACCAAAAAGGCTACTTTTTGAGATAGAGTCAGAATTGGAATGTCACGCAGAGGTTCAAATGGAGATTCCTGCAACACAGAGTACCAGATTCAAATCCCACGGCGGCAACGGGGAGCGAACAGGGGGAACGATACGTGTAACCCCCGCACAAAAGTGCAAATGAAGGCGTTGGAAGCTATCGGCCGTTGAAAAACGACCGCCAAGGCCGAAATCTGGCCCTTGATCGTACTCAAGGCCAAACCCTGATCCACACCCCGCTGTAAAAAGGCGAGGATCCTGGCAACGGAAAAGAAACGAGGCGGAAATCCCACCGACTCACACTAGGCAAAATAAGCCTTCCACGTTCGATGGTAAATCCGTCGTGACACAGGCTTGCGAGCCCGCAACATCGTAGAGATAACCGCACCCGAGAGACCACGATCCCTCAACAACAGAGGGCGGAGGCGGCCGAAAAAGCCGCTTGTGAGAAAAGGAAGGACCAGGCTTCCGCCGCTGTTCCCTAGGCTTTTTTGACTGAGGCAGGAAGGTACTCTTACCGCCCTTCAGATCCTTAATGATTTCATCCAAGGTAGTCCCAAACAGACGCTCCCCCGTAAAGGGGAGCTCCGTCAGAGCCTTCTTGGAAGCCTGGTCAGCCGACCAGCATTTAAGCCAGAGGAGGCGCCGAAGGGTCACCGCCGACACAGACAGTTTGGAAACTAACGGTGCCGCATCTAAGGCCGAATTACACAGGTATTGCAGACCCTGCACCACCTGTTCCGTTAGGTCGACATAAGCAGGAGACACGTTTTCCTCTGCAAGACCCTGACGCAGCATCTTCATCCACTCCGTCAAGGTCTGGGAGACCAGGGCCGAAGCCAACACGGGGCGCAACAGAGCCCCGGAAACTGAGTACATAGTACGCGCCACCGCCTCCGCCTTCCTATCCGTGGGATCCCGAAAGGAAGGCGAATTTTCCACCAGGATGACCGTAGCCTTGTTCAGGCGGGAAACCGGCGGATCCACCGCGGGGGGAGTAGACCACTTAGACAGGAAGGACTCCTCAAAAAGGGATAACGTACCGAGAAGCGTTTGGGAACGGAAAACGACTTGCTCGGGCGCTTCCACTCCTTGCAGACAAAGTCATCAAAAAAAGGAACGTAAGGGAAAACCTTAGTAGAACGCCTACTCCTGTGCGTCCGAAAAGGAACCGGCGGGAGCGCCGAAGAGCTCGGTGTCTCCTCAATTTTAAGCGTTTCCCGCACAGCGCGAACCAAGGCAGCGAGCAATTCGCGCTCCTGGACCATAAGGGCGGTCCCTGACTCGTCGTCACTACCAGACTCCGCCAGGGAGGAGTCCCCCAGGTCGGGCTGTGCGGTCGCCGCAAAAATTTCCCCCTCTTCCTCAGAATCCCCAGAAAGGACCATAGGAACCGGCAAAGCGCGCTTCCGTGGAGGGCGCTGCGTCAGTGCGCGCTCCATACGGGACACAAAACTGTCCATGGTGGAGGAAAAAGCCTCCAAGGACAACATAGTGCCAGCGGACCCCCCCAAAGACCCCGCAGGCACCAAGGGAGAGGGGCGCAGAAGCCCAGGCTGCGCAAAGGGGGATGCGGGAGAGGTCCCTGAAGAGAGGCCGCTGCCCTCACAGGGTACTGCGGTCAGTTTGTCCCCACAATCCATGTCCCCGGCAAATAAAAGAATTGTTAGCTCCTTACTCCTGACGCTAGGCAAAAAACTGGAGACTTGTCAGCAGGTTAGGGGGTTTTGGCCACCGGCAGGGGCCGCCCCTAGGCTGTAATTGGTCTTTAGTTTTGTGCCTAGCGTCCTTCTCCTGCAGGTGGCGATATTACCCTACAGTACATGATCTCCGATCTGTTCCCTGTGTCCTTCAATGAACGGGAGAGAAAGTAATCACATTGCATGACAGTGCTAGAAAAGCACCAAAAATAAATGTTGGGAGAAATTTCAGGTATAAAAATTCCACTTTACTGAATAAGGATAAAATAAATGCCAACATGTTTCAGGGGTTGGGAAGTGTCTCCCTTCATCTCGGCTGTTTACAACAGCTTGAGTAGGTAGAGCGACACAGCATGCTGGTAAAAAAGGCAAGCAGAGTGACTCCTCACCAACGGGAAAAAGAACGCTGGCTCCACTTTAGCATGCCATACAAGTCCAGTGGAAGATTATAATAGGCTCTGATGCTCGGAGTGGATGTCTTACTGCCTGCTGTTCTGAATACACCTGGCTGCCCATGATCAGCTTTCCTGGACACTCAGCTCCCGTCAGATTAAAACACATTCATTACCAAAAAGCACAAAATAAACATAAAACTCACCTGGGACTCATATGGTAGGAAGGCCAAGTTGATTTCTTTTATTGTTTTGATCTTTTTGGGGACCCTGGATCTACCCAGCTCATTGAACAATGCCTCGGGGCAAGCTGTGGAAGACAAACACACACATTGCTTAAACTCTGCAAACCTCATTTATCTTTATATACTTGGACACCAAATCTTCCAAGTACCACGGTATAGTCAAGACATTTCCCGCACTCTCCATGTGGAGTGTATTCCGGAACGGCTACAGCCGAGTGGCAGCAGACTGACCTAAGAGAGATTATTTCCTTCTTTCACTTTTCCCCTTATGAGATATCAGACTCAGAGACCTTCCAGCCTCAGGAGGACAGGACGGTGATATCATGAAGTATACACTGAGTGGCCAGATTATTATATACACTGAGTGGCCAGATTATTATATACACTGAGTGGCCAGATTATAATGACCACCTGACGTTTGTAGGCAAATTAGCTATAATTTGGCGCTGAAGTTGCTAGAGGGCCAGACCATTATAAATAGGGAAGCAGGTTGGTTACCACGACAGTAGAAGTGATTTGTTTCTGAAGATACGGGGAAACAACGCGATTTAACAGCCTTTGAACGTGGGATGATTGTTGGCGCTCTGAGCCATGGAGCGAGTATCAGCAAAACAGCAGAATTCGTTAAATGTTCAAGAGGGGCTCATTGTTAAATTGTTTGAAGACCGGACTGTCAGCCGAAAATCTGGGTCTGAACGTGCGAATTGTGGCCGTCAGCGACTAGTCAATGTTAGGGCAGAATGGAGAGTGGCAAGGGGAAGGGCAACAGTGCAGTGTCAGATTCCTCGCATCACCTTTCACCATCTCGTGGAGTCACGAGGCGGCCCAACTAAGTACTGATGGGGTGCTCATAATAATCTGGCCACTCAGTGTATACAGTAGATACCTTTACTGGAAGGAACCTATGAATGATTAGTGACCCATTACTGCAGGTTAAAAGCTGTACCCCAGGCAAGAAATTCACATACAAATGAATGTACCCCAGACAAACGCGCATTTCCGAGGGCTACCTGGCTTTATCCCAATGGATACGGGCGGCAAATTCTCCCCCCCCAAAGAAGCTCCTGTACTTCTTTGGCCGCAGGGCGTTTTGTAGCGCCTTCATACGGCCTGTAATACGCCCAGGTGTGAACCATACCCATAGGAAATAATGGGATTTCGGTGTTTGAGCGTTTTGCAGAGCGTAGGAACGTGCTACAACACGCCCAGGTGTGAACCGGGCCTAAATCTCAGGACTGCATGGACAGAAACACAGATCCTTTGACAGGTCAACAACTCCCATTCATGGAGTTCAGCTTTAATAAGCCATTAAGCGAGCCTCAGAAGCCCATGCCAGTACTTACTGTCTGTGAAGAATATATGAACCGCTTTATACATGGGGGCGTCTAAGTCCATGAAGTCAGATATGAGGGCCCGGACAGACTACGGAAGGATAAACAAAAATAAATATATAAAACACACAAATAGCAATAAAAGTCAAATAAAAGGCATTTCAGCGGATTCATTAAAACACAATGGGGGGAATTCATCAAAACTGGAGCAGACAACATCTGGAGCAGTTGCCCAGGGCATCCAATCAGCTTCTCTCTTCAGTTTGCTTAGGTAAGTTCCCCTCTACAGTATGTGGCTTGAACAGCGACATATCACATGATCTGAAAAATACTAGAGAAGAACACAATACGACCAGAGAACGTTGACCGATTCCCTTAATATCTCTGTAGATCTCAATCTCTAGCTCTGGGACCTACGGTGCCAGCCATTGGCTCATTACACCCAATACTAATTGTCGCAATAGATCAGTTCCTCAGCGCTACACAACGTAATGATTCTTGGTGTGAACGTGACGAAAGAGGACCTGTCTGCGGGCTTATGTGACGCTGGCCTTGTGACACAGCCATACATTTCTTCCTTCACCCGCCTTTTAATATGTGCAATAAGTTATACTCACCTGAACTTCAGGACTGGCCGGCTCTGAGATTGGTCACTGCAGCCCGTTTCCTCCTCGGCGTCCTCACGTCCTATACACTGTATTGGAAATAATGGCTCAAAGATCCTTAGACCACTAAAGTGGAGGGAGAGAAAGACTCCAGGTGCCGGTCTAAGAGCAAGCCGGCTGCGAGGTTCATGCGAGTATAACTTTTATTTTTATCCCTAGACGAAAAAGGAGCACTTAACCCTTGCAGAGCTGTGGTAGCCCCATTGCCAGGGTTATGAATAACTATCCCGAGTTCTTCTCAGATGTTGTGACAGCAGCAGCTTCTACGTCTGATGCATTTACGCAGCAACTCCGGCTGTCAGTTTTACAGCTGGGAACTGCCAGCATGTGTTGGGGTGGAGCAGCAGCAGGGAAGACGGACAGGGCATACTATACACAGTGTACTTTTAGGGCCCGTTCACACCAAGTCCCAACATATCCTCCTCTCCTGTCATGACATCAGCATTGTAATAGGAATACATAGTAGAGATGTCAATACAATCAAAGCGGACATGAAAAAAATCCCTTTTATGTAGTGAGCGCAGCCTTCCGTCTGCCCATCACTTCCTGGATTCCCAGTGTGCTTTGCATCTCTTTCCCTGCTGCTTGTTGTGATGCAATCTTCATTTCTCAAGACTACATCTCCCATCATGCATTGCTTCCTAGCAGAAATTATGGAAATTTAAATTTAGAAATAGAGGATTTTTAGCTTTTGCAAAACTGTGGACTGGACCCAACATACATTTTTAAAGTCTTCAGACCATAAGAATGATATGAAGCCTGGACCAGGAGAAGGTAACTCCGGCCCTCCAGCTGTACTATAACTACAAATCCCAACACGCCTTTGTCTCTGGGAGTCTTCCCTGCAATGCCTCGTGGGACTTGTACTTCCACAACAGCTGAAGAGCCACCCCTGGCTTGGAGGGTCTGCTATAGATGGTCACATGCAGTCTAGTGTAACAGCTCTTTCCTAGATCTCCATTCCACACTTTCTGTGGGCAATCTGCATTTTCAATGGACGGGGTTTATAAAGTCTGGTCAGGTTGCATTCAGAATGGGCTGATCCGGGTTTAGCTGGGTCCCGGATGAGGATTACATTTCTCATGTAGTTAGATATCCTCCTCATTCAGCTGCTTTCCAGGCGAGGATCATTGCAAAGTGTTTCAATGTTGCAGGACAGGTTTCTTAGTCCACATCCTGGTCATTTCTCCAGAAATATCTGCAGTAGTCATTTTTGTGATACGACAGAGGTATCCCTGTTATTATAGCCAGAATGAAAGTCACGTGTGGGAAACTAGTCAAACTGGTCCCAGTCAATACCATGAGAACACAACCTTCATCCACAGAGCGGTGCCACCACCCTAAAGGAATGAGGATGTGTTTCCAACGACTTACCACTTTATACCATCACCCAGATCACTCGCATACAGAACCCTGTGCATCATTGACGTCTGCCATGTACATTGTTCCTAGTCTGGACTCAAGTCAGGCAAGAAGGATAAACAGTCAATTAAAAGGAACACGTCCATTAAATTATCATTGTAGATGTCATGTTATTAAGTGATGACTAAAGCCAAAAGGTTTTTAGACTGCTTCAAATGCTGAGGAAAATCACTTACAATGAATGATGCTCCTTGATGTTTTAACTTGCTGCAGAATCAGCTGGCCCCCTTTACCACTGGCCTCGATATCCTGTTTTAGGGTGGCTCCTTTCCCTTGCAGTGTCCTATGGAGCCACTTTTGTGTGTGGACTAAGCCGTGTCTACAGACACAGCAGTGCAAGCCAATTCATTGCTCCCCTCCTCCTGCTTCCTCCATTCCCCAAGCTACTGGATGAACAGTGGCTGGAGATGGCTCTGTCCCTTGTGATCTTGTACTGGACAGGAAGTTCAGGAAGCAGAGCTGAGAAACGTCAAGCGGCTTGGAAACACGATGGGGGGAATTTATCAAAACTGTAGCAGAAAAAAACTGGGAGCAGTTGCGTATGGCAACCAATCAGCTTCTCTTTTCAGTTTGCGCAGTTATGATTTGAAAATGAAAAAGAGAAGCCGACTAATGACTAAGCGCTCAGGTAAAAATGTAAATAAATATGTTGCTGGGTGATGTACATGGCCTGGCCAAAAAAAAAAAAAGTCAAAACACTGTAATATTGCGTTGAAACGTCTTTAGCTTTGATTACGGCACGCATTTTCCGTGGCATCTTTCAATAAGCTTATACAATGTCACAACATTTATTTCCGTCCAGAGTTGCATTCATTTATCACCAAGATCTTGTAGTGATGATGGGAGAGTCGGGGTGTAAAGTCTTCTCCAGCAAAACCCAGAGACTCTCAATGGGGTTCAGGTCTGGACTCTGTGGTGGCCAATCCATGTCTGACAATGATGTCTCGTGCTCCATGAACCACTCTTTCACAATCTGAGCCCCATGAATCCTGGCATTGTCATCTTGGAATATGCCCAATGTGCCATCGGGGAAGAAAACATCCATTGGTGGAAAAACCTCATTCAGTATACATTGTGTTACACTATAAGAGACCACAGACGGTAAAGTTTGATGCAAGAAACACAGAGAGCGGGACTTACTTTATCTCTGAGGAAGGCAGAGCAGGAGAGCTTTTCTAAACTGGGCATAGGGTCTAATGTTACAGTAGCATTAAAGGGTGGTCATTCTTTTACCTTAATACATTCTCTGCATTAGGGTAAAAACACGACCATTACTTTTCTGTACTTCCTAGCCAATCAGGAAGCTGGGCAGCACATCATGACCTGTCTCCCGGCTTCCTGATTGGCTAGGAAGCCGGCTTCACTTGTTACTAGGCAGCTTGGCTTTCAGACCAATCAGAAAGCCGGGAGGCGGGCCATTACATGCTGCTTAGTTGCCCGATTGGTTAGGAAGCCAGGCTACCTAGCAACAAGTTAAGCCAGGAGACAGGCCATAGCTCACTGCCTGGCTTCCCGATTGGAAAGGAAGCCGGTTCCATACTACCTTGGCACTGCCAATCAGAGAGAGACCTCCCTCTGACCGGAAGTTCCGGTATCGGGGCCTATTCAAATCATGTCCGGATCAGCTGCGGTTCATTACATTTTTCTTCCGCACCAAAAATGCATCCCAATGCATTTGTATGTGAGTTTTGGGCTCTGTTCACACCGGTCCGTTCCAATGCAGGAAAAAAAAATGCTGCATGTCACACTCGCCCAAATACTCAGTATTGGCACCAATATAAATTATATACACACACACACACACATATATAGTGATTATATACCTCCAAAAGAAAGCTCTATCTGTCCC